ACAAAGTCAGATACTGGGAATCATGACAACTACTATGGCAGACGACTTCTGACTAGGTGCCTTCCACATGGTCGCCCTGACAACAAGACCAAGTTGCGACAACGAGGTCAACCCACTTCTATCAATCGAAAGGAGACTGCGATATACCAGAGGCCAAAAAATCTTGGTCTTCATATCTACGATTCTATAATGTTTGCAACAATTCAAAAAGGCCAAATGGCAGGACTGACTTACAATTCATTCATTGCTTTAGCTTACGACTTGAAAATAGAATTCTAAGTCTTGTATTACACGCAAATAGTTTTCGAGACTCAGTAATTCTTAAATAAGGCATTGATAGTTGAGTCTTTTCTCATAATCAAATGAGTAGGCCTCACGATGCTAGTGAATTTCACTAAGCCTCGTCTCCCAAAAGAGCTGGGCCAGGTCAAAGCATACGAGATCCAGTCACCCGATGCCAACACATTCGATTTGCATAATAGGCCAATGTGTGTGTTGCTTCTGATACCAAACCTGCATGGCTAAAACTCCACTGGAGGTGTTGGTGAAGCAAGGCAGAAATCGTAGTCAATTCTGAGTGGCAATTGGATTAATGACGCAGGAAACTTCAAGACATCTCTTCCAAATGGCTCGTGTAGAATGGCTATCACCCACTGGAGCCTCATAATTAAATGATATATCTTGTCAGCATTGACAAGCCTAATACTATTTTCAAAACGAATACAAATCAGAACACGACTTTAGATACTGATGCTTTAGTTTAATGCAAACTGATATAACTACTGATGGGCATTATAAGTCCTCGAATCACCTTAAGAAGCCCACTATTGACAGCAATACTTCAGTTCGTGGCACTCAGATGCGATTAAAAGTAAGAAAAACCATCCAAGGCAGTCGAAAGAGACGGTTCTTGACTTTCCGGTCCCCATCCCTATTGTATTTCGCTTTGTTATAATTTACTATATTTTTTGAATTAAGTATTGTTTTCGTGACTACCAGTAAATCAGTAGTATGAGATGTTATCCCCCAATTTCGTTTAAGATGATGAAGGACTGGTAGAAGAAGAATGTTCCCACAATTGCATTTCACATAGCCTTGCTTTCCCAAAAGTTGTTCTCATATCATTGTGGGAAAATTCTTCTTCTACCAGTCCATAACCTTAAACGAAATTGCGTGAATACATCTCATACTACTGATTTACTGGTAGCCACGAAAGCAATAATTAATTCGAAAAATAAAGTATATTAGTCGATTGTTGTAGCAAAAATACGTTTGCTTCATCGACAATTCCAGCAAAAGAATATGAAATGGCAAAAAGGCCTGGCCTTCCTGGAAAATTCACATTTGCCCCGTGACCCAAAAAAAGGCGCTCGTGACAGTGTTTAGGGTGTCAAGCTCCCATCCTGCACTGCCGCGGTTCGACTCCCGCTGAGGGTGTTGATAAGACCGATGCGAGGTCGAACTGCAGTCTACTGGTGCTTGGATGAGAACAACTTTTGGGATAGCAAGACTATGTGAAATTGAATGGAAACATCAGCTCAACCCATCAGATTGTGGGAAAATTCTTCTTCTACCAGTCCTTCATCACCCTAAACGAAATTGTGTGAATACATCCCATATTATATAATTTAATAGTTTCGCTAATCGTTTTCGGTCTGATATGAAGTCTGAACTCGTGTGTTCAGCTCCACAAAGGACTCGGTCAGCAGACGCTCATGTCGCCTCGATTCTATGACAAAAGGGTCCGTTCGAGGCTGCTGCCCCAGACGACGACAGAGGAATCCAACCGCAACTTACACAATACAAGTGAATCGGTTCGAGGCCCGCAAGCGCTTTTTCCTGCACTGGGGCTGCCAATTTTTCGTCAATTCTCTACTAACCATCAATATTGTGCATGTGGACGGTTGTATGCAGAAGGTAGAAGAAGGATGAGAGGTGATAACAAAGCACAAATATTGACAGGAAAGGCGATTAACGCTCGTAGATACAGTAAAGGAGATAGCAATTAGACAACTTCATCCGGGCACCCCAGACCATGCTCGTGCGTTCGAAAGTGACGGAGACGGAGGGTCCGGCTCCGGCCGATGGGATAAAAGGGGAAGAAAGAAGCCTGCGGGGAAAGCAGCCGTTCTGTGGTAGATTGGGCAATTTGAAGAGGTAAAGACACCGATGAATATATGCAGTTGAAGATGTCTCTTTGCTTATGCCAGGCTGAGGGCGCACCTGAGCGTGAAGCGGCAATGTAGTCGTCATGGCGACCGGTTCTCGCTTTGGGGGTTACAGGCGAAGGAGTGGCGGGGCGAGGAAGGAGGTGGAGAGAAGAAACTGGGTGGAGAATAGACATTTCAGCGCGTTCGGGAGTAGACCTCGATGTCGTCAGGTTGTGAGTTGACGAATGTCATTTGGTTTGCATTTCGAGTTCTCGCTGACGCAGCGAAGCTTTCAAGCGCTCCTTCGGGACATCCTCACCAATCCGATTAGCAAATAGACGCATCTTCTCTTTGAACGACATCAGCTCCACATTTTCACACTCACTCTCGGACACCGGCACCTGGGGACAAATTGTAGGAAAAGCAGAATCCTCCGTAAGCATTACAATCGCAATAAAATGTACTTTTATTCTGTGAGTGTGTTTCGGATGGAGTTTGTTCCACGATTAAATGAGTGTATGCGAAGAAAGGTTGCGTTTCAAGGAGTCACTAGTTTCATAATTGTTGAGCTTATTTCCATTTCGAGTGAAAGTGTTGCGCGAAAAGATTCGAAGCTCGGTTCCACCAGAAGACGACGGCCGATTCCTCTTGACCATTCGACAAAGAGTGGCTGAGCACAGTCCAGAGACGGGACACGAGATTGAATGGTCTCAAACTTGTCGTTTTGCTGCTTATGGCATGTCTGCAGCCAAACGTAAAAGTAAGGAAGCCATCGAAATAAACTGAATA